GTAACCGGACTAGCAATGCTGAGGTTAGGCGTAGAGTTTTAGGCAGTCGCGGTCGTCCACTAGAGCAAGTAATCGACCTGCATAGATTACGCTGGTTGGGACATGTGGTACGCGATTAGAAAAACGAAGGGCGATCGAACTTAGACCTGACATGAGGGTATGAAAACCCTGACCAGGAGACTAGGTCACATAGGTCCTGTTAGGCTCCCTGTCTGGGGACCTCGGGATGATGGTCACCGATGGTTAACTACACTGAGTGATATGGCTGGGTGTCGCAAACAGTGGCGCTCGTGCATTTACTCATGACTTTCCTAACACCACTCTATATGTATTCCCCATCTTCCGCTTGAATTTGCTTCGACATTCCAATCTTGACTTCGCTGTTTTTTCCAAATGGGCAACGAAAACCGGCGCACGAAAGTGCATGGTTAATGGTTGTAAAAACTGAAACATCTCGGGGTCCCCAGCCAGGGCTAAATTTTGCGAGAAACTGCCGCGATCAGTCTCGGCACCTAACCATCGAGTCTTCACCATGGTTGCATGCGATGAATTTGGAAGATTCACAAGTTCAGTCGTGTATAGGAGAAGAATTGCAGGAAATCGCACATCAATGGGAATGAATAATATTGAATGATGAGGTTGGTTATCATAAGCCGAGACACTTCTAACTACTTAATTGCTTGGCAAATTTTGTTTAACGGCTTTGTTTTTTTGACTTTGGTATTTCTGTTAGCTGTCTACTTCTTCATTCCACTTCACTGCTCAACCGAATGATCAATCTGGATCACCGGAATATGTTTGCCACATCTGCACCGACACATGGCTATTAAGTAGCGGAGATACGCACTGTTTCAACTGGTTTGATGAACGTGCTCTTGTCGTTTATTGGCTCTAATGAGATTCTTGATTGTTCCGTCTATTCTTCTGTCTCGGCTACTGCAATACAATGACTACAACTATGACCGACCAAAATAAATGGGTATCAGTTGTGGCGCGTGCCCATTTATCTCTTCATAGCTAAAGAAGAACCATATTTTCTATGAATATGTGTATTTACTCTAGCGACACCGACTGGTACGCGGTCAAGTTATGCGATATCTAACAAAAATGCATAGTAGCTTTTTATCCTTTCTAACGGAATCATGCCTACAGTATACTTTTTTGTCCCTGCTCGCACGTAGTCATCGTTTGTGCGTGCACTTTTTTATTTCTTTGCCTATCACAGCGTTCACATTGGTATCTTCTGTCGAAATCCGATATCACGATGATTTGCTTCTGGGTCGCATCCGACCCACTATCGAGGACAATCGCCGTCATATCAAGCCCGATGCTTGTTCAGCCGAAGACCTCGCACAACTTCCTCTGCGCCTTTGTCGTCTGCCTCGATCTTCTCCTCTGAATGGCCTGGCCGGCCTTGTGAACGCTTCGGTCCGATTAGAAGCTCGGATTCTCACACGAGGGTTCCTGGTTAGTTGACTTCCTAATTTCTGTTTGCATTGATTTGCAATCACTCGATCGCAGTTTACTTGACGATAGGCTGGTGGTTGCCAGGTGTTTGTTATGCTTCTGCTTTTTAGTTGAGGCTAAATGTTCAATCTTTCATTAGGTCAGGACCATTCATGATCCAGATAAAACATATGGTTCCGTCCTTGAGGTTAGAACATTTGCGAGGTCATCAAGTTTTGCTCCGACACCGATGCATTGGGTGCAGAGTGGGTGATGCTTACGTTTACCAATCATCGCGGTTAGTGTCGCCTGCGCCGAATGTTCTGCTTTTGACGCGAAGCGAATACGTTTTTCATTGTCCCCTCCCTCTCTCGAACAGACCGTTTTTGAGGAGGTCGGAGGTTTTGGTGTTTGGCAGCGCTACTGGTGCCAGCTTCGTGCTGACCACTTGCAGTTCTGGCGTTATCCAGAGGACGAACAACGAGCGCTTCACACAGATTCCTCTCAATCATCTATTCCCCCACCCGGTCCACTTGGCCGAATTGATTTACGTCATGTAGCGGCTCCTCGTGCAGTTCCCGCTCCGAGACGTATTTGCGCTCGTGCGAATACCATATTTATGAGGTCGCTCCGTGCTATCAACCCGGATGTGTTATCTGCTTCTGTCGGTGCTGCTGACCCCGGCCAATCCGGACAGACAGATCAACAAGAAAGCTTAATTTTCCGCGCATCACCCGATTACACATGGTTGGAGCAAAAGTAAGTTGAGCCGATTGTCGACGCAGTGGAACGCTTTTCATTTTTTTTTGCTCTTCTTGGTTTATTCGGTTTGCCTGGGGTTTCTATTTTACATGTATTTACATGTGTTTTTTAAATGGTCTTGTTAGAATGGCCTGAGGCATGCATTTTTATTTGATTTTATTAATCATCAGGTTGTCCGTGAAGAGCTGAGTGTATCCTGCAGCAGTTAGGCCGATGTAGAGACTTGGCCATTACGGAAACAGAATAAAGGCTTTGGTTTGACTACGCTTGACCTTTTTCCACCCGCAACCTACCTCGGAAAAAGTCGCTTTTTGTGGCATGCACGATACATGTCCCAGCCAGTGTAGTCTATGGAGTACGGAGTCAAATTTCCAAGGTGCCCAATATACCTCAGTGCTCGATCTAACCGGCATAAGGGGATTATCATATTAACGCTGTTGTTCCAAAAAAATGTCTTAGTGAGTCATTGCTCCTCGATCCTTGCTGAAAACAAATTATTTCATACATTGTAAATTGAACTTTCTTCTCTGCTGTGGTTCAGTGCATATTCTTCTCTTCACATTCCTCCCTTTGGTGATAGGCATTTACTGTGTGCAGACTCTGCCGAGGAACGGGAGCGTTGGATCATGTGGTTGAATTTGTGTTTAGAATCTTTGAAAGATTGGATGCCCGAACACTTCTCCTGTTTGGCACGTTATGATGCGCGTTTGCAGTTCTCGCAACCAGTGTCATCTAAATTGGCCTCCTTACTGGTACACGGAGATCCCAGTGAATGACGGGAGAAGACATCTTTGATCGTATATTTTTCTTGTTATCTCTTTCTTTGCTGATTCTTTCACTGGAAACGTTCGGCCCATCTATTCGTGTGCAATTGGCACATCTGGTCTCTTTCAGCAAGACTCCGATCAACTGTTCCGGGTCGATAATCAACGGCGTCGTCCTCACATGATATATTTTTATAATTGGTGTTCTCTTCCCCCAATGCATCATTCATATCTCTACTTGTCACTGTGTTCGCAGCTAAAATTCAAATCATTTCATCTGTGTTGACTTCATCACACACACGAGCACATGCACCCGAAGGTTTCACGAATAATCATGTAAATTCTTACGTATTCTAATACGGGTTCGATTACTCGCTTTAATAAAGCTCAACTTCCACTCCTCCAAATATTGTGCTTCTATTATTTGAATTTGATGAAATTCTGCTCCATAGGTGGTTTCCGACTTCAAGCATCTATGTCTGTGCTTCTGCGATCCTGACAAACTTTCTCGCTGTTGTGTCTACAATTGGTAACTTCTCGCGTGGATAGTGCAAATTTTTTTGGTGTACCGGATGTGGACACGTTTGGTTGAAACGCACACGCCTTCACGCGGTGGAGGTTTCTTCCCACAAGAGAGAAAGAGAAAGGACATGATGCCTTTATCCGGGTTGGTGGGACGCAGACAGTTAGCGGAGAGCTCTGATTTCAAAGCAGCCTAGATGAGGCGCACCAATCGCTACGTGCTGTTTGCTGGACGAGGATATGCAACGAGAACCGTGAAGTAGTCCATCGTCTTTGTGATCAGCGTGTTAGTCTGTCGATGTTTTGAAAGGAGTTCCAGTGTTGTTGGTCTTGGGAAGAAAATAATCAATCCACAAAAGCGATGTTTGTTTGATTTCCTCTCAAGCAAGACCTATGACAAGATAGCGCGAGATTAACATTCTGTTCACACCGAAATGTTTTGTATTAAGCGTGATTTCCTATGCCCTGGTTAATGAACATAAAAGCACGCGATCATTTTTCAGACGGTATTGCATCCAACATACTGATACGAATAGAAAAGATGGCTTGTTTGATCCGGATTTCGAAGGTCACTGTACGGATGACGCCCAACGTCACTTATTTCGAAGTTGGTGCGAACTATTTCCCTAGCATTTGGAGCTATAAGGAATATGTGATTAGTGGGAATCGGCTAAGGAAGAAAGCTTGCGTACGTACTCCGGACACAACAGGGTTCAATAAACACGACAGGAGCGTTGAATATCCTCGAACGAATTCATTTCCATTACATGACGGGCCCCAACGGTTCAGGACTGCCAATGGCCATTGGTGCTAGGCGACGTGGTTCAAATTGGAAGTCAATGTTGCGTTTGTTGTACGGTTTATTTAGTCGAACCGCGTTCTTTATCACGGACAAAGGACAAAAATTGCCAAAGAATCTGTGCTTTATTGTGTTGTAATGGCATGATTAGGACGCACTGAAAACGAGCTTGTTTGCCAACTTGTGTTCTCATTATAAATCCATGCTTCCTGTCTGCGGTTTCTGCCCATTTTTATTTCCCTTGTCTGTAGTTAATCCTACTGTTTTCATTATCCCGGTTATCTTGATGGCATTGTGCTTGTTCCCAAATCGGTGTAAAGCATATTCTAGAACGTATAGCTGCTGATACTTTCTGTTGATGTCTTGTCTGTGAACAAGGGTGTTGCGCGACAATCGACATGCTGATGCATAGTTGTGCCGGTGGAAGTGTGGGAAGAAAAGAAAGGAAATATGTGGATAGTCCTCACTTCACATTGATGTCTAAGACATTATTCTAATCGGTTATTTGAAGCAATCGTCCTAAGTGAGCATCAATTTTGTACTCTGGATACTTGGAAAAACCGACTCCAGATAGAAAGTTAAAATTCGATGGGCTAGTCTAACCTAGATTCAGACGGTGCGAAAGGCTGAAAATACATGCCAGACATCTAGAAAGATTCCATTTGAGATAAGCAGATTGGGTTGAGGAAGCCATCCTTGTCACGGTGAGACTTTCATTCACCTATGTGGGGAGTACGTTTATTGTCAGATTCTTTGCAATACGGAAAGCCGTTTGTTTGTTCTACTTCGTAATATGACAGCTCAGTGGTGTCATTTTGTGTGTGTGTGTGTGTGTGAACGAAACTTGACGGCGTTGTGTCCCAATATAAAGTAGGAAGCGCAGTAAATTAAGCAACACATTTATTGTAGACGGCAAATATGTAGCCGGTCCGTAGACCAGGGATCAAGCACAAACGGCGACGCGTAGGAATGTAGGCAGGCAGGCTAACACAGGGTCAAATGTTACACTAAATCCGAATACCGTCGAGTCGGAATTCACGCAGTCAACCAATCATTTTGTCCACAGGCATTCGTAAACGTACCAGTCGGTTGTAGGCCACAACGGACTGCTTGTACCTTCTGACCCGGGTTATCGATTTCCTCGTTGGTACCACAAGAATCAGTCAGCCGACTTATTACCCTTTACCCGTGTCTATTATTCCGTAATTCGGACAAAAACCTACTTCGCTGAATTTTCTTTTCTGTCTTATAATAAAAAAGGTTTGTTCTCTTCTGGCATTCATAGAGCAACCGGCCCCATCTGGATCCCAGGTGCGTCGTAGTTACACATTGTGATCGTTGTGTTTCGGTCTCACGTCAAACCGAGCGTTGTGTTAAGAGACTCGATTGTACTGCCCGATAAAAAAGAAAGAAGACAAATGTCGCAAGATGTTAATCGCTGCTTACTTAAAACCAACAAGCATGCATATGGCGCAATGGTTTGTTCAATAACGGTAAATGCGTGTGCATAAGCATACAAAGATCACTAAACTTGGAAGTAGAAGGTCAACTCCATGAAATTGGATTGATGTATGAAAAACGTTTGTACGCATAAGGTCGGGTAATGTAAACGAATAAGCAGCCCTTCACTAATTGCCAAGAGTTTAGCATTACGACTACGCAAAAGTAGTTTGAAAGAAGAATTCGGGTCAAATGTGTTTGCTATTATCATGGGATGTTTTGCAACAGATGACCATCGATTTTTTGTAATCGCTTGACCAGCAATTATCGATTTCACCAATCACTGGAATATGTTCGGCCATCCGTTGCGATAGCTAATGGTTTGTTCTGTTCATGTATGCGCCATTGCAACTGCATAAGGCACGTGCGAATGGGATCAAGGATGTCTACTAGGCATCATGAGACCTTGTGATAGGGTGAGTTTTGCATGCACAGAATTGGTCTGGGTGGAGTCCGAAGTTTGTGCACTTTTGGCGAACCTTTCATTTGGGGTGTTTCGGCCCCTATTGGCTTCAATTGTTTGTATTGGGCCTCGGAGATGTAACCGTGAAGTAACAAAATTTGTGGCTTGCGATAAGGCCTTCGGTGAGATGATTATTCTCCAGCGTTTGATCGATTTGGAATTTCCCCGTATCCCATCTTCACGATAAAGCAGTTTGTCGTCAAAATTACCGTCCCGGATCCTTCGTCTGGTTTGAGAAATTTTAGGTTTGTCACATTTGTGAGTTCTTTCATTACCTCGAAAAACAGTGGAAAAATGTGGTGTCTCAACAAATGTTTGTTCACTTTGGCAAGTGAAGCTACAATGTGAGACGTGATTATCCGGACTAGGTTAATTCCATTCACTTGTGGGTTTTCCTTCAGGGGTAATTTCGAAAAGTTGCGCCGAAATTGTTCGGAATATATAAAATCGTTGTAAAATTGAACAAGATTTCTTTCAAGCATTGATTTGCAGCGCAATGTGTGCAAACAATTCAGTGACTGTGGTGGTAGAGATATGGATTCTTCGTTTTACATATTTGAAGCATTGGGTCCCCTTTATTCATTTAATCAATATAGGAAGAGCATAAATGTCGCGAGATGTTAACATTTCGATTAATCTTCTTGGTATCTATCTCTGTTTGCTTGTACAAGTTCATTCACCATTATGGAACAACCCAATGTGGTATATATATATATATATATATATATATATATATATATAACACGATTACACGAAATGCTGACATCTTGCGACATTTGTCTTTTTCTATATTGATGAAATGGATACTGGGGGGATCTAATGCTTCAAATTTGAAAACAGATTGTCATCAACTTTGACACTAGAAAAATGGAATGCACTTGGGGAACAAGTGACGAAGTTTGTACTGGCGCCTCGGTCAAACTGAAATGGTGAAAGCAAGACCTTTTCGAGGGCGATGACCCCGATTTTTGAAAAGCAAAATGGCAGTAAGTATACAAACAACTACAATTCACACTAATTGAGTTGTTTGCAATCGTGGAATATATAATCTGGTCAAAATGAACTGTTGGAGAAGGCACTGCAGGGAATGTCACACTACTTTGGCTTCATCCACAACGAACTGTCTATCAACAAAAAGCGACTCTGAAGGTACATTCGTCACAGGATAACGTTTGATGAGAAAAATACTTGAAATTCCAAAATTGCATTGCTATTGACCGTGTTCCACAGAGGCTGCTTTGCGAAACATGAACTTTTTTCTTTGCCAACTGTGAGCAACACGACCGGTGACAAGTGAAGAAGGCAACTGGTGATCTGTTATGGCAATTTCGTGTTACACTTTTGCATTCTCATTTGGTGATTCGCCGGGGATGAAGCAACGGTACCAATAATCAATAGGTTGAAACGTGAACGCCTAGACGGTGCATTCAAGTAGTGGACAGATGCTGTTTGCATATGATACTCATTCTCGAAGCTTGTCGATTTGTCACATCCACGCGTTCAGAACTGTTGCAATGTCAGACATGTTTCCCTGACCAACCATATCTCATCTAGTGTCATATTCGCAAATGACTCGATAAGAACCAGCGGATCGCCACTGACCTTTTACTCATTTTTTTTTCTTTTCGCTTTACTTATTTTTATTGAATACACAATGATACAATTTTCAAGAAGCGGTCAATCAAAGGGCTACCATTCTACACACACAATGGGGAAAGTCGGTCGGTG